ACACACACACACACGCACACACACACACACAGAGACAGACAGAATCAGGTGTCCTCCCTTTCTGAGTTGAAGCGCACGATGGCCAACAGGTAACATCCGGCTTGAGGCCCCTCCTCTCAATCCACCTGACGAGGAGGTAGAGGAAGGTGGGGAGAGGGAGGTGGGGAGAGGGAGGTGGGGAGAGGGAGGTTGACAGACACGAAAAGGAAGGGAGGAGGAGAGGAGGAGGACGACGACGGGGAGGGGGACATGGAGGAGAAGGAGTGGCGTGAACAACGAGGAGGAAAAAGGAGGAAGGCTAGGAGGAGGGGCAGGAGCGAGAGGACGGGAGGAGGAGAAGAAGATTAGGTAGGATGTAACCTGTCCAACGTCGTGGTTGCCAGTGGAAAATGTTCCGGTAGGTCGAGCATGCTGTTCTTGGGATTTTGCTCTTATGGACGGCATTGATCGACTCCCGGAGTTATCGATTTCTTGATTGATTGGATTGCTCGGCAGATTGGATTGATTGATTAATTGATTGATTGGTTGGATTGATTGATTAATTGATTGATTGGTTGGATTGATTGATTAATTGATTGATTGGTTGGATTGATTGATTGATTTATTGATTGATTGGATTGATTGATTTGATTGGATTGATTGGATTGATGGGATTGATTGGTTGATTTGTGTTTGATTGATTGCTTGGATTAAGTGGAGAAATGATTGATTAGGCAATGAAATTGATTGATTTATACATTGCCTCCGCTTCGCTTCGATGGTCTTCGTCGCGCTTGAGCCAAGAGCCTCTTGGCGATCTGATCCACCCATCCATCACATCGGACGGTCCATGAGAAGCGGTCGCTGCCTCCATATCCATTCATCCATCGCTTAACTGGCTAGAGGACTTAAGGACAGTAATAGGCCGCATATTCGAGCCCTTTAGTGAGTTAAGTGAAATGAACAATTTTCCTATCTGATCGATGCTCGCCACAATATTTCGGGGAAACTATTTTTACCTATTCCTTTCTAAATAAATACCCTACATGGACCCAAAAAAAAAACAAAAACGAAAAAAAAAACGACATGGACCGATTCAAAATCCACTGCCTGAACCTTCTCCATCATACGGTAAAGATTCTATTGCATCCTATTTGGGGAAAAAAAAAAAAAAAAAAAAGATCGTATTTCAGCGTGTCCGTTCTACAGTCCGTGATTGGGGGGATGTTCCTAGGTGCACTAAGTAAGCCATGCTCCTGCACTTTTCGATTGCGTACCTATCATTTGCCTGTTGGCTCATAATGCAGTATGCATATGAAACCGCCGTGACGAAGATGATCCAAGAGGCTGCAGCACCTCACTCACACGCCAGATGCACACATGTATTGCGTCCTGTCCATCCTTCCTTCAGTTTCCATCTCTGCTAAGCCAACTGTTCTCCTGTGTTTTTCAAGAAGGGTGCATTTCTCCTAGATGACTTAGCAGCCTAGGATGCATTCCACTCAACCGCCTGATTGTCACGTATTCTATCCTTTGCTGTCTTCTGTAATGCCGTGGGAATTCCGCAACGGTTGAACAAAGTGTCTCCATTCCATCTTTGACAGCACACGAGAGAGAGAGAGAGAGAGAGAGAGAGAGAGAGAGAGAGAGAGAGAGACGGTTTGTGTGTGTGTGTGTGAGAGAGAGAGAGAGAGAGAGAGAGAGAGAGAGAGAGAGAGAGAGAGAGAGAGAGAGAGAGAGCGA